TACCTAAAGGCAGACAGCTAGTAAAAAAGGAAATAAGGAAGTGCGTAACTTGTAAAAAAGTAGAAGGACCACCATTTCGCTCAGTTACCGCTCCTCCATTACCATATATAAGAGCCACAGGGTCCCAACCCTTTCAGGTGACGGGAATTGACTATGCCGGACCATTATACGTGCGTAATGCCCACAAAGAAGTCGGAAAAGTCTACATCTGCCTATTCACCTGTACAGCAATACGAGCAGTACATCTTGAATTAGTAGAGGATCAAACAGCCAGCGCATTTTTGAGAGCCTTCAAGAGATTTGCAAGTAGAAGAGGAATTCCAGAATGCATAATTTCGGATAACGCGAAAACGTTTAAAGCAGGTTCACAAGATCTAAAAGCCCTCAAAACACAAGGGATAGAAGCAGCCGAGTCTCAAAGGTTTCTCGCCAACCATGGCATCAAATGGAAATTTATCACAGAAAGAGTCCCCTGGTGGGGTGGCTTTTATGAGCGACTAATCGGACTAGTCAAAAGAAGGCTGAAGAAAATGATCGGAAACACGTCGCTGAATTCTATCGAATTACAGACCATACTTACAGAGATCGAAGCTACACTTAACAGTCGGCCACTTACTTATGCATATACAGACGTCAACGACGGTCCACCCCTTACCCCATCCCATTTCCTCTGTGGAAACAGGCTTCTGACACTGCCAGATACAGAAGAAGACTCCGACTACATCCCTCAAGATTCGGCTAAACCTCTAACTAGACGAGCGAAATACCACCAGAAAATAATGCAAGCTTTCTGGAAACAATGGCAAAGGGAATACTTAACCGGTCTCAGGGAACAACATTCATCGCAGAAAAACAAAAACATATCGGGGGAACCAGTGACTCGAGGAAAGGTTGTTCTGATACATGACGAAACACCGCGAAATCAATGGAAACTCGGAGTCATCATTCAACTACATCAGGGGAAGGATGGGTTGGTGCGCTCTGTCACCCTAAGAACAGCAAGAGGAAACCTGATCTCAAGACCTATTGAGAAACTTTACCCTCTTGAAGTGTTAGCCGAGGTAGATAACCTACAAGGCTCTGAAGAGAAATTCAAGAACCATAAAGAAATTAGATCGATAGGCCAAAAACGAACACAACGAGCTGCTGCTCAACGAGCTGCAATGAAAATAAATGAACTCTCTAAACTTAATGAACTTTAAATACTATTACTTTTTGATAGTATAAATATCTATGATCGGCACTTTATGGCTGGCCCGGGAGGGTGTAATGAAATCAGTACATTAACGGCTAATTATGTACGTATAATTAGTGTTCATTATGTACGTCACTAATGAGATAAAGAAGTCTTGACTAACTGGAATAAACACAAGATCACACACAGTTCAGTCTGATTGATATCTCCGAAAAAAAATACCAGAAATTCTTCCGCTAGCAGAAGAAGATACAAGCGCTAACAAAATATATTTTGCCTGTTTGCTGCATATTAATTCGAAACCAGAAAACTATAGATTACTGAAAAACAGAAAAGTATAAATCACTGCGGTAAAACTTTTAAAGTTCAGGTTCCCAAAAAACATTTCTTTTTCAGTGAGCACCTCAGAACCTTTAAATTCAAAACAGACGGTGTTTCTGCAACTGAACGACCAGTCTTCCCGTCAACACGGAAATCCAAACAACCTGGACTGAATCACTTAAGTCCAGGTGAATTTTCGAAAAAAACGACTTTGTTACTTTGAGAAATATACGTAACATTTTTTTTTATTTTTTGCTTTTTAAAATCAGCCTTCTCATCATTCTTTAGAACAGTGTGCAAACAACTAAGAGTAAACTGAAAACGTATGTTCTGCTGTCTGTTAATCCAATTTTGACCCCTTAAAATTCTATGTATATTGTTAAAGAATTCCCTGAGAGATCAATTATAGCATATCCGTTTGCGAATAACTATTGGAGTTTGGGACGTCATTTTTTTGTCAGTCATTTTACACGAGAATCAAATAGGAGATTTCATGATCAATGTACAGCAAAGACCATGAAAGATACCTCTACGTAAATGAGCAGTTACACCGGGCCCGAAAGTGACAGTTTGCTGCCTTTCCCTACATCTAGGAAGTTCGGAAAGCCACAGAACTCAGGAACAAAAATTGTTCTTTCAACTCGGCACTCTCAACTCCCGCGGTATCAACGAGCGCTTTTCGTTCAACTAATTTATTCTTGTTTAATACCAATAGCGTAGCTCCATTTTCTGCATGTAAACCCATACACAAACCCATAACTCCCCAAATCGCTCTGACGAAGGGCTCGCGCTCGAAAATTCAGCTTTTAAATTATTTATGGTGACCAATTTACGTCATCAACTCAGTTGAATTTGCTAAATCACCCTGTAATTACCACACAGAGTCCACATATGCAGTGCAATACTGAGGACCCATCTTAATACAAGTTCGACTTTAACCTATTTATTTCTGTCAACGCGAGATGTTATGTCAACACCAGTTGGTGAGAAGGATGTCCGATTCTCTTGCACAAGGTTTAGAAACGTAAGTTGTTGCCGTTCTTAAGAGGCATCGAACAAACTCTGAGTATTAACTTTGATCTTTCCAATGATATCACCAGCGTCGCTTTCCGAGAAAGTCACTGCCATGTACCTGGCAGTGGACTCGGTCTCTACGTTGGCATCTCCCTTAGCTCTATGGGTCAGTCGTACTCTTTCCCTTAAGAATGATCTCAGAGAAGCTAGTTCGGCAACTCTGCGAGCGCCTTTGGTTTGAACTGACTACATATGAGATAAAAGATGATAATGCATTTGTGCTGTTTTCACCACGTTTTATATCCACAGCCTTCTTTTATGATATGGGTTCGGTATTCTTAATCGCTTATTTCTATACAGATCTATAGTTCCAAACTGTTTCGTTTGAAATGTGCCAACATCCGTTTACGTGTGGTCGTGCTCTGTGACAATTTATCAACATAATGATGACTACTTTATTTGCTCTGATATTAATTGAAGCCGTTATCATTGTCTGTGTCATGGCATTGATCCTTTCAAGTATCGCGTATACAACAGATATTTTAGCATGATATTTGAGGAACAACAAGTCTCGATAAGAACGCAATTAGAATAATTTTTTAGGAAGGAACTAGCTAACGAGCGAAAGGCTCCAATACTCTCGAAATGCCTTTTTCACTTTTTTCTTTAATTGCTCGGTTCTCTGGATCCAATACACAATTCTACTGCTTCATTCTGTGAAACTGTTGTTAATCTCCAAGGCTCTCACACTCTGATTCTAACTGAATACTTCAGATCTTCTTCAACTACAAAAGTTTGACTCTACTCTTCTGCACAATGTATTCATTCTCCTAGTCTGCTTTCCTCTCTCATCTCTCTACTCTCCTGAGTAAGCTATAAAGGAAAAGCTTTAATAGTAACTCCAGACAGATATAGGTGGGCATGCTAACCAGCTGACCCTGGAAGATTGAACGTTTTTTGTTGTAACACTAAACCAAACAATTTCACTAGACTTTCGAAATGAACAACGAAGGTTTTGATCTTAATGCTTCCGTTCAACAGAGTCAACCTCTGATTGCGTCAGCCAAAACATGAACTTCCGCATGGGTCCAAAGCAAGGTCAGTTAACAAACTAAGCACGTCCACCTAAGGAAGTTATACAAGGCTGTCACAAGTCGGAAAATTATCCCGTCAGCTTAAACCTTAATAACATCGGAATTCGAGTTGATACGTTAAATAAATTCAAAATATAAACGAAAGATTAAATCATACTAAGCTGATTAACTTAATGACGAACTAGTTATCCAGTAACTAAATAATTCATAACAAATTTATTTGAATAACATGCCGCGGTCCAAAGTGCGGACTTGAATGGAATAGATACCAATAAATACCCGTCAGAATTTTTTTGGCCAGATTTCCAATTCAAACCGTGCACAAGACGAAATCACATGTTTCCGTATTTCTGAAACGTGGCGGAAACATGCAACTCCATTTTTCCGTTATGTTTAACATGCACAAAAAGTGGTCCGGTTCCGTTGTATACGCAGCAACGGAAACGCGAGAAAACGTCACGAAAGCGATAACGGAAACACAGGTTATCCTTCCTGTTTCCAGAACGGTTTAACATGTTTCTGCCACGTTTCCGTTTACGGATTCTTGCAATTTCGTCCTGTAGTGGTGATTTAGAGGGTTCCCAAAAATTATGTCGATTTTGTAGATAATGAAAGAGATACGAGGGAGTAGGTATCCTTTATGGTGATGTTCAAAGCTCCGTCTGCATTATCTGACGATAAGTTCAAGCTATTCGCAGAGTAAAACTACTTTCCTAACTTTCGCGATGTTTATAGTTCGACAAAAGACTTGTATAATAAATACTTTTGCTTAAGAACTCATGTGGCTTATCACCTTAATGCGCGCCAAGAAAACTGTCAGTTCCCCTTTTTTTTCGTTTTCACCCGGTATCCGCTGCAAATGGATTTCTGGATTAAGAAATACTCTGACTTACGCGAAAACTAATTCTAATCAAAACAAAAATTTTCAATTAGTCTTTGGGTGCATTTTTTCACGCGTTTGGCCTCAATCCAAACGACCTTTTGAACGGCAACTGAAATCTTCACCGTTCTTTAATGTCATTGAATGATGGATTTCAATAAAAGTACCATAAATTTTGCTTTTGGTCACGGGAAGTTTAATCACTCAAGGCCTTAAAATAGAGGATTTTGTGCTTATTTTGCTTTGATTTTTGATGGTTCATTTGTTTTTCTCTTCAGCCACTTCACCGTTGGGTAAATGTATAGTTATTTTCGGTTTCCAAAGTCTGAAGAGTGCGTTTGAGTAAACATAAGCTAATAATGAACATGTCGAAGCTTCCGGACAGAGAAGACATCGACATGTTATCGTCTGATAAAATAGTAAAACCAAAAAAAATTATATTCAAATATAAGGGTAGCATTTGAAGTCAACCTCAGCTCTGAAGGGGAAATGGATGCTAATTATGTGAATATTACATATACCTTATATTTTTTTTGACTCAAAAATACTGCAGAAGACAGAGCTTGCAGCAGTATCGTATTAGAAGGAATGTATTAATAAGTACTCATTGTATTTCCGCTAATACGCACACAAATCCGCCGGGCATTTTCCTTGAGGTTATAAAATGATGTGAAATTTAATGTGAGTTAATATATCTCTGGATCCATCGATTGATTGATTGATTGATTGATCGATGGATTGAGTGATTGAGTGAGTGAGTAAGTGAGTGAGGAGTGAGCAAGTGAGTAATTGATGATGTGACTGCCTAACCGTCTGACTATCATTGAAGTCGAACTCATTTTAAACTCTGCTCCATAATAATCTGAGTAAGCCATTACATATTGTCGCAAGATATTCGCTCTCGCTTTATTAAAGCTGATTTATAATCGAATGACTAGGGGTAAGGTTCTTTAAGGAGAAATTAGCGGAGGACATCTCACTGAAATCAAACAGGTCCTCAAAGAGCTTACAGCATCTTCTTAATGGCGAAGCGAATACGTGAAGACATGCTTTTTAAGTGATTTACAGATTGTAAATCGTTCTAAAAATAGTTTTATCTCATTATTGTGCGGCTTAATTGAATAATGTAAATGAATCTGTCTTCGAGTTTTTACGATGCTGAAAGAAGTTTTAGTCAGTTACGTAATCTAAGAAGAGCACGTGCGCAACTGAAACAATTCCTCATCAGGGCGGGGAATGCACAAGATGGTCGTAAAAAAGTAAGGAAATTCTAAAACCGTTAACTGTCTGTAAACTCATCCTAAGTGCAAAAACTAGAAACTAGGAACCTAAGCCACAAAAAAAAAAAAAAAAAAAAAAAAAAAAAATTATCTAGGGACGGTCAGTCTCGATAAAATTAGATTATTAAAAGTAGTGATGTCTCTGACAGTAAGGGAAGTATTATATAGAGACAAGAGATTATTGGCAGAGAAGATAGGTCCACCTACCTGTCAGATAATAAGAAACTCAGCGGAGGGTATAGTCCTATCAGTTTATAAAGCTTGCCGCCATATCTTCTGTATAGTTTCTCATTTTCTTTTTGGTCGTACATGCGTGCTGCATAAATCCAAAGAGTTACGCCCAAATCACTACAATGAGACGTTCTCAACAACTAATAGGTATGTAATACCGGCTGTATGGTATACAATCTGCAGTGCATATAAACTTTCGCAAACACTGTGGTAATTTTTTTTTTACAAATATAGGACTTTTTGTGGAACAAGTATGTCAGTTAATACTAGAGCTCTTCAATTTGAAGAGGGGAACAGTTGTAGCAACTTTTATACCATGGGGTCTGCATGTAAGACTTAATTTTGCAAGATGTAAGAATTCTCGGGAGGCCTTCTATATATGATCAATTGCAGTGGACAGAAGTTGAAGTGCAGGCGTTTCATCGCGGTTTTGGATGCTGGTTTAGATAAAGTACGTTCTTTTCATCTAACACAGTCGAACCTTCACGCTAGTGATATTCTATTACTTTATTTTCCAATATGTTCTTTACAATCCCCTTTCCAAACTCTCAAGATCGGCTTGTTTCTTAACACAAAATCAAACTTTGCAATTTTTGGTGAGTGTTGCGAAAGATCTGAGATGACGTCAAAACCGTCACGCGCACTCTCTTAAATATTTCACAATAAGCATTTTAAGAGATATAGCGGGACGGTCATTTTCGATAAAACTAGATTGATACGTGTGATGTCTTTGACAGTAAGGGAAGTATGATGTTGAGAAAATAGATCATTTGCAGAGAAAATAGGATCATTTTCCTGTCAGATTTGTTCCCTATAGGTTTAGAAAGCTTGCTGCCACATTTTCTGTATAGTTTCCAAAGAGTTACACTCAAATCATTAGAATGAGACGCTCTCAACAAGGAATAGGCATGTTACTATCAAGTATCATGAGAGTATATAGCTGTTTCATCATGGCTTTGGTAACGCGGTAAAAATTCCAGTATCAGTTGGTTTCCCGTAGACCTTCGTTTCTGGTCGGGGACTGTTTCTGATAATCATCATTCCAAGAAAGGGAAGTTTGTCGTTGTTCCCAAGTTCCATTTTGAAACTGAGTGAAGGGTGGATTTCACTCGGTGTTGACAAGAATACAGAGGCAGATGAAACATCGGGCATTTTGCTGAGGATTTTATCGACAAAGCGCCAATAGAAAACAGGCATCTTGTTTTGGTTTCCCAATTTTTCTTCAATATGGCACATAAACGCATTTACCTATGGTGGTCCGGAGGAGAGCCAATGGCAACCCTATCCGCTTGCTCGTACAAATTTCCGCCGAATTGGAAAAGGGTGGTTTTTTTTTGCGATGTTAAGGGCATATTTCCTATTGAAACAGTTGTCTTCGAACGCTTTCTCTGCTTGGATTTCGATGCTTCATCGGCCTCTGTTATCTTGTCAACGCTGAATGAAGTCCACCCTTCACTCATTTCTACGATAGAACTGGGTGTTGCACACTATGTCGGTTTCACGAGCCGACACTTTCACCGACGTGTGCAGGAACACAAGCGATCAAAATTCGGCAATCACGTACAGGACGAGCACGGAAAGGATCCCGAGACCATCGAACGAAATTTCAAGATTTTGAAGAAATTTCAGAGCAAACTGGACTGCTTGATCTTGAAATTCTTTTTATTCCCGAACTTGGACCAAAACTGTACAAACGTAGTGATTCGGTCGGTGCAAAACTATTTACTTAATCGATTCACTTTATCATTGTTTCTTTCGCCTTAGCGTTTTTATCATTCTTGCCGGAATTTTCTCGTAATTTTCTATATAAATATCTTAGAGTTTTAGTCAGTATCTCATTAATATTTTTACAATTGATTATATATAGAGGCACAAGATAAAAATTTTATCCTGCAACTTCAAAATGACCGTTAGCGGTCAAAACGTCGTTGCTTTTTCATCTTAATTTTTATAGCAAAATCCGCCTCTAAAAACAAACAATGGCCATTCAAATACAACACTGAGAATATCAAGGTTTAATAATCACGGTCCATTAGTTGCTAGACTACAATATATCAAGGTTATGAGATTTCGTAGATTTGGTAGATTTCCTTGTCATTGTTGACCTAGTTGGTTATTGAAAAAGTTGTCAAAGGATCGTTCACTGTGAATCGTTGATTGAAGGTCGTTGTTGGTTTGAACTAATGATAAAATAAGGTAAAAATGTTTCTTAGAGCTAACGTGAAAGGGAGTTCTAAATCGAGATTGGTAAATGATACACTATTTACAGAATTTTGAATAGCCACAGCTTTAAAGTTGCTAAAAAACCTTTTCAGACTTTGGGGCATATTTTTGCCAAACCTAAGGATCCTGTCACGAAAGAACAACCAACCGATTTGGTTTATTCTATCCCTTGCAATGACTGTGACAACGAATACATCAGACAGACCAAAACTCAGTTTGGTACACGCTTGAAAGAGCATCAAAAAGCGGTTCTCTCTCGTAAAAAAGGAAAATTCAGCTTTATCGGAGCACACATGCCTAACTAACCATACAGTTGGGCGGGATAGTTCTAAAATTATCACCACTAATCGGCGTTATCAACAGCGCTTTTGTTTGGAGGCTTGGCATATTAACTCCGCCCACGCTCCTTTAACTCGTGACGATGGCGGCTTGCTTCCTGACGCCTATTTACACCTAGTCAGAAAAAAAAGGCAGCTAATTAGTGATCATATAAAAGGACCCCTTGTTGCAGCGTTTAGATCACCCCTGATGAAGGCACTAGACAGGAGTGTCGAAACTTTGGGTCTATGAATTGTAACTTCTTCGGTTACATTCGTTAAATCTGTAAACCAGAGTGGCATCAGAGTGTCTGATTGACCACCTTGTTGCCGTTTGAACTTTAATGTATTTTAAACAATTTATGTTTGCAGTATAGGTTAACGCAAATGGGGTAATGCACATATGCTGTCTATCAAGTTGATCCGGCTTTTGAAATTCCTTAACAGCATCCGAGAATGTAGAATCCGCACTAAATGGTAATTTCGTCTTTGCTAATGAACTTGATGATGAAAAAATTAACCTTTTTTTTTGCGAGGAAATGAAGCACCGAGGTTTAACTCCAAGAGATATCTTTACCTAGTATGTTTTGCCTAACCACTTCAGGTCATGTAATAATACTCTAGCGAATTACTACATTCAAATTCTTCTTACTCACGTGAGTATGTGCCTATGTTTCACAAAAGATAAGGCTGAGAATTCCCTTCAGACTTAAAGTTCTGATAAAGTGGGTAAACAAAACGTAAAAGCTAAAGAAGTCTATTGATTTCGAAAATTTATCCTTCGAAATTCGTTTCTTTGATGCTGAAAATTGCCAGACGGCATATCTACACTGTACTTGATAGCCTTGATCCTTAAGTAAAGCTGCAACGTTACCATGTCTGTTATCTTTACCAAGTGGGGTATTTCATTTTCTGCCAAGACGCATTATAATTTAGCTCTAACAACGCCTTTTCACTACAAAATCACCTTTCGGACGACCTAAATTTCAAAAATTTATAGGGGAACATGCTACATTTTTACCACTCCAATAACTTCATTTCTTCGGCGGTATTAATCCAACCACCCTTATTAATCCTGGACCTGCCCTAAGCAGTAAATCGACACCATATAATAAGATTTCTTTCCTTTAGGTTCTGATCTGCTTTTTCTGGCACTTTCTGTGACTTATCAAATACTACCATCAACGCGGGCATTCCCAATAGATTGCCAAAAGAACACTGCAGACTGTTTGGAAGAAATAATGAAGGAAGTCACCCAAGTTCGATTTGAGGTTAAAATTCTCATGGAGAACAAGACATTGACGAGACGTAAGAACGATTCCTCTTCGTTCATGTGTGTTACTACCTTTATTAACATTTATTCATTTCAATTCTTATTGTCGTTTTTCAAGAGTATATCACCTGTTATTCCCTTGCATATCATCAACAGCTAAGAGCTGTGTTGAGCTCTACCATTCCGGTCAAAGGATCAGCGGTGTTTACACAATCGACCCAGATGGCTCAGGCGCTTTTAATGTATATTGTGACCAAACTACTTCTGGTGGGGGGTGGACAGTCTTCCAGAAGAGAATGGATGGCTCTGTTGATTTTAATCGCACTTGGCATGACTACAAACATGGCTTCGGTAACTTGGTCGGTGAATTTTGGCTCGGACTGGACAAGATAAACCGTCTGACACAAAACAAGACAAAGAACATGCTTCGAGTAGATCTGGGGGTAACTGCGCGCCAAACTGTTCACGCTGAATATGAATGGTTTGGGATTGGGAACGGGACGACTGACTACCGGCTGTACATTGGCAATATGACAAGTAAGTAAACCGTCTTTTTAAACATTCATCGTTGGATTTTTATATGTTACTTTCCTTTCGACGTCCAGTGCCCTATTCACACAAAAGCTTAAGAGCTGTTTTGTTTTTTGCTAAAAAACGATTTAAAATTGGTTTCTTCAGAGAGGCTGCTTAAACTGATGTTTGTCCACTGTAAATTTAGCCAATTAAAATACAAGTTCGTGACAACTTGAATCTCACGGAAAACTCAGTTATTCAGTTCTCTGTTACTGATTGTTACTTCGATCCCTTCCCCCCACTCCACGTAACTTGCAAATAAAGGTTTCAGTTTAGCGTTTGAGTGTTTTTTGCTGTTAATTCTGCCCATGCTCAGTTAAGTACGCGCTACTTCGTGGGCAGTTTTTATTCGAAGCCGCTTGATATAGAAAAGTCATTGAACTCGGCTTTACCAAAATCACAAAATTTAAGTATTTATTATTTTGTCCGATATGTTTGTATATCGATATCCGCCCCACTTCATCGATTATTTAGTTTGGGGTGTCAAAAGTATTATCTTGATCCTAATATCATGGAGTTTTCTTTTTTTTCTTTTTAAGCAGATGCATCTGTTTCCTTTGATTCCCTCAATCCTCACAAAGATCTCAATTTTGGTACTTGGGATAGAGATCCTGCTAATTGTGTTCTAAAAAGAGGCGGAGGCTGGTGGTATGGCAGAAGTAATGATTGTGCTGTTTGGTCGAATCTCAACGGAATTTATCCGTATTGTCGAAAGGAAACCTGGGCCGATATCCATTGGAAAAATTTAGATCCAAACAATCCCAAGGGCAGCGCCCCCACATCTACTGAAATGAAAATTAGACCAGTGGATTTTTTTTAAACTTTCTGACGGTAAAGTGTTTACGTAAATTGTGATTTCTGCGTCTTCTGCTTGGTCGACTTCGCTTTTGTTAAAAATTGTGATTGGAAGATTAATGATCGAGTGGCCTTCCTTGAATTTGAATGAATTCCGCCGGGGAAAAGCCATCGTTAATTACTTCCCTCGTAACCAGGCATCAAGTGCAGTAATTTGCATGCATGATAATGTTGATCTTTTCTTATGTACAATTCATTGTTGATTTGAAAACGCTGTAATTAGGAAAAATTAGTTCGCTTGCTGTCGAGATTAAATCAAAATGTCTGTGAATTCAGCTTTCTAATATCTGACAAAGAAATTTGTGCGCGTGATTTAACGTCTACATGAATAAAATGTCCATCCGGACTAGTCGATTCTGTTTTGAAACGTTATGAGGTAATTTGCAAGGCAAGAAAAAAGACCTGTATTTTTTTCAACGCCTATTATTTTAGAGGTTAAAATGTTTAGAATACACCGATTAGAAAAAATGACAAAGTCATAGACTCGACCATATATACTCGATTAAATG